AAAAGTAAAACGGGTTGAACAGTAAAAGGGTTAACAGGAATTTTTTTCCCCTATGTGTGTTTCTGGTTTCCATTTTTTTTTCTTTTAATAATAATAATGATAATCATATTTGTCATTTGATATTCGAAATTGTAACTAAAACTCAGAAAACAAGCGGAAAAAATCCTGATCAAATTCAATGTTGTTGCTGCTGTTGCTGTTTCACCAACAACATCTTTCATACAAGCATTGAATCAGGAAAGATGTTATAACAGAACCGAATGAAAAGTTACATAAATCAAAATGTAAGGTAAAAAAGAAGAAGAAGAACATCAAGAAGATTTGTAGTGAAACAAAACATTACATGACAATGTTTTTTTGTTTTCATCTAAAATTTGATTTTTGGATTTTTTTTTTTAATTTGAAAAAAAAGCAACAACAAAATCAGGAAAAAAACACTAATTGTGAAATGGAAAAAAAAGAAAAAATGAAAAACTATATGGATTCTCTTTCAGCCAACTAAACAAGAAGAAGAAACAAAATAAGAAAGAAACTTTGTAAAAATCTTATGTTGTTGTTTTGGAAAATGAATGTAGGAAATTTGATTTTGCATAATGTTACATCTTTTTTTTGTCAATTTTTTTCCCTATCAATTTCTTCTTCTTCGATTTTATTATTCAATGAGAGTTAAGTATAATGAAATACAAGGTGAAAAAAGGGTGAATAAAAAAAATATTCGTTTTGTTTTGTTTGCATTGAATTTTTGGATGCAATTCATTTTCAAAATTGAATTCATCATCATCATCATCAACAACTCTCTCTCTCTCTCTCTCTCTCTCTCTCTCTCTCTCTACGGATGCAAATGCAAATAAAGAATGACAACAAAAAAAAAGTTGACAAAAACAGGTAACACACACAGGTTGAAGAAACAAAAAATGGAGGAACCAAAAAAAAAAAAAAAACAGGAGAGAGAGAGAAAAAATAAACAAAAACGAATGACAAAAAAAAATATTCTGGGCAAACTAATAGAATATTCCGAAAAATTTTCGGAATGGAATTTTGTTTCAAAATTTTCATCAAATTATTATTCTTTTCAGTTCAAAATATACCACTGTTGATGATGATGATAACGATAACGATAACGATAAATAATAATGGAAAACACACACACACACACATCATATATTGACAAATGAATTTTGAATGAACCAAAAAAAAAAAGAATTTTTTCCAAAGAATTTTTAATGAATAAAAAAGAAGAGAGAGAGAGAGAGACAGAGACAGAGACAGGAATATTCTGTTGAATAAAAGTTTGTTTGTTTTGTTGTTTGTTTTTTTTTTTTTTGGAAAAAATTCTTTCTTTTCATCGTTTTTTTGGTTGTTTCAACATCCATTGATGAAAGCACTGTCATCATCATCATTGAGTGAAAAAACTTGAAAAATTTTCAAAAATAAAAAAACTTGAACAAAATTTGCATCTCGTCAAATACAGCAGAGCATAAAAAGAATCAAACACACACACACAGCATTTCAATCAGGAAAGAATTGGACACTATTCGACGATACTTTGTCGTCGTCCTTATTATTATGGAATTGATAAGAATTGAATTTTTCTTTTTGCAAATAATGAGGATAATGATGAATACGGTGGATTGAAATCCACGGGAAAAAACAATGAGCTTCTTTGAAAATGATACTTATTGATTTTTTTGCAAGATTGAAAAATCATCATTGGCTACATAGAGGAAGAATAGGATTTTTTTACAAAAAAAACACAACACAGAAATCAGAAATCAAAAAGATTCACCAGCAGCAAAACACATCATATGTGCGAGAAAAAAAACTAGCGAAAATTATTCATTGCCAAAAAAAAAGATGAACAGAACAGCAACGGCAAAAACCGAACGATCGATCGATCGATGATCAAAATAAACATATTGAACATATTATATAAGCCAAAATCGACGAATAAAGAATATTTTTGAAAGAATTTCTTCAACAGCAAACAAACAAAAAAAAGATGAATTCATTTGGATTTTGGAAAATGATGATGATGAAATGAAATCACAGAATCATACAGAATCAGGATGAAGAGATTTTATGATGATGATGATGTTGTTGAATTGAATNAGACAATTAATCCAACAACAAGCACAGAACACGATTAATTCACACATGAAACATTTATATGATCAATGTACAAAACCTTTAGTAAAACACATCCACGAAAACAATCTCAAATTCACACAAACACAAGCAACAACATCACTACTCACCGGACACGGTCCCACAAGAGAATACCTCTTCCGGATATGGAAAATCGGTTTCTCACCTGATTGTCCCACTTGTAATACACCACAAACATACCTACACATAATCAAAGACTGTCCACTTTTCTCAGACATAAGACATAAATACACAATAATAGCAACACAGGACACAACATCAATTGTAAATAAGCTTATCNAACATATTATATAAGCCAAAATCGACGAATAAAGAATATTTTTGAAAGAATTTCTTCAACAGCAAACAAACAAAAAAAAGATGAATTCATTTGGATTTTGGAAAATGATGATGATGAAATGAAATCACAGAATCATACAGAATCAGGATAAAGAGATTTTATGATGATGACAAAGTTGTTGAATTGAATTAAAAAATGTGGAAAAAAAAGCAAGAATTTCTGAATGAAAATGACAAGAATCACACAGAAATTTTCCTTCCTAGCCAAACTAAAAGTCCATATTTGAAAGAATTTTTTGATGAAGAAAAAAAAGTAGTAACAACAACAACAACAACAACAACAACAAAGGTAGAAAAAAGCAAACCTGAACAACGAAAAAAAATGATAATTTTTTTGCAGTTCAGATTTGTTATTGAATTTAATTGAATTTCGTTTTGTTCAGGTGTTGATAATGCGAATAAAAAAAACAAAACAAAATTTTCAAAATGAAAACTTACAAATGAAGTGAAAAGAAGTGAAAATCAAATGAACATACACACACACACACACACACAAACACACCGAAGACAGAATGGCGCCCAACCTGTACAAAACAAAACAAAAAACACAGGACACATTCTCACACACACACTATGTGTGTGTAGGAATGTAGGATTCTTTGAATGAAGGATTCTGTGATTTTTTTTTTATTCTTTCCACTGAAATGGCCCAAAAACAAAAAACAAAACAAAAATCAGAAATCAAGTGGCAGACATGATCATCAACACAATGATATTAATCAAATGGAAATTCATTCATTCATGATCGTCATTCATTTGTTTTTTTTTCTGCCATTTGATGATTATGATGCGAATATGATCGACATTTAAATGTTGAAATTTTTGGATTGAATTTGGTGGTGGTGGTGCTGCGCCTGTGTTTGTTTGTGTATTTGTCTATGTGTTTTGCGTTTCTTGATGATGATGATTCTGATCAAGAATATGTTCCGTAAAAAAAGTGCTTGCGCATTGATTTACAATGATGATGGTGGTTACGAATAAACGAATATAGAATTCGAATGTGAATAATAATAATAATGATGATGGAGGAGAAAAGAATCCAGGAGCGAAAAAAAAACAACAGAACAGAAGAAGAAGAATCTTTTCAATACAAGATGGATTTGATTTTGGCTGGCTGTCTGGCTGGGTGAGTGATTTGTTTTTTCTTCTCTCTCTCTCTCTCTGTCTCTGTGTGCGTGTAGAATGTTAAAATAGATGCAGCAAGTGGTGATGGTGGCGTGTACATTCATGTATTTTAAGAATAAAATTCCATTGAATCGCTCCCCTCTATTCTCCCCTTCGCCAGAATCTATTATAATGATGATATTAACAATCTTGATATTGAAAACAAAAAAATGAATGATTGAAGATTTTATTATCATCTTCTCTCTCTCTCTCTCTCTCTCTCTCTCTC